CCAAAATAGGATTAATAAATATATTACCCCATAGGGTTATCATGTGGTTTTTATTATAATTAGTTACAATATATAAACCACTTCAACTATTGCCCGACACACATTAAGCTGTATAATAGCAATATATAGACATTTTGCTATATTTGTCACAGATCTATTTTTAATGTATTTATTTTAAAATTCAATGCATCAAATTCATTTTGTTTTCAGACTTTTGCATACTTGTTGAAATAACTAAGGTACATGAAACTGATTCCTTCTCTTATAAATTATAGGTTTTGGTAAAAGTAGATAAGACTCAAGTAAAAATCAGTCTAACTCATTTCACAGTGCTTAGTCTTTTTAATTGCTTTTTCAATGTTGTTTTAAACATGAGCCTTCCCAGTTGCATGAAAAATATGTTGAAATTTTTTTATCTGATACTGTGATTTTAAACTTGGAAATGTGATTCAAGAGTTTGCCAAGTTTTAATTTTTCATAATGAAGAGTCAGCATAGTGAAAAGTGAAATGTGTACTCAAGTGTCTAGCTAGATTTTAGCTGAATGTTCAACTATAAAAGCAAGGGAAGGAAAGGAAGGAAGAAGGAGTAAGAAAAGGAGCGGAAAAAGGAGAGGGGAAGTAGCAGATGAGAGAGAGAAAGCAAGACAAAAACAGAAACAGAAAGAAAATATTCCAAAGCCTACATTTTCCTTATTTTCTTCAAGGTGTTGGTGCCTTCCTGGTGAATGAGAGACAAGCAGGAATGCCTGTCCTTGGCAGTCCATAGAGTGCTGCTCCACTTGCCTTGAAGTGGGCTCTCCCTCTCCTTTGGAGACAACACATCTATTGATGCCTTCGATCCTTTTGACAGTAATTGACTGAGTCTTACTGCCCTCCTGTACCTGCGATATAACTTTAAAATGTTTGGCTAAAAGCAGATAAGCTTAAGAAAGTCTTGGAATATCCATTTGTCATTTCTTTGGGGAAAATAGTAAATACTGCTGGATTTGTAAATTTAGCTATGAATTGACTTGATTCAGCATTCTCAAAGTATACTGACCCACTATGAGCATTCCTTCATTCTTTTCTTTATTCAGCAACTTGTTTTGAGCAGCTGTTAGGGCCCACGTGCTGTGCTGTCTAGTGGAGACCTAGCAACGAGCAAAAGAGACTCCATGACTGATCTACAGAGTTTGTAGCCTAGTAAAGTAATAAATCTAAGATACCGAACTAATGAAATGGTAAGCATGAGGAAAATATAAAAATGGAACATGTATGCATAAGACTTAGCTTAGAATAGAAATCTATATATTCTCACAGGTACAGCTCATTTAATTTCAGAGTATGTTTTCATATCACAGATTGAAATACCCAGGTCTTGATGCTTGTGACTACAATTTAGTATCTTGATAACCTCAGGCAAGTTTCTTAAGTTTGCCTAGTCGAAGATTCCTCACCTATAAAATTAGAAAAATAATATTTGTCCTGTCTCCCTCAAATCTCAAAGGCATGTGATAAGAACATTTCAAATGTATAAAATCTATAATTGTATTAAAATTACTTCCTATACACCCTCTTTGTTGTCCTTTACTGACATCCTAAAAACTCTACCACATTCAACCAGGACTTTGAAACCTGACTCACTCACCCCGCCTTAAATGCACCCTTCAACCTGAATTCCAGTGCCCAGCAACACAAACTCACAGTTCTTTAGCTTGTCCTGTGGCTTTCATCTTCTCTCCATTTCCTCATGTCCAGCTTCACACCCTGGTCTTTGTCTTCACCTAGAATTTATCAGCCTTAGAAATCTTTAACTCCAGTGTCCCGCCTCTGGACATAACCTCCTGGCCTTCCAGCAATATCACACCCACACTGACATCTTGCTCATTCTGCAGCGTGCCTCATATCTCTGCCCTGTGGTCCTCCCATTTAGCCATCTATTAGCCCTATCTTGACCCTTCTGATAAGAGGAGGATTATGGAAGTCACCAATGTGGGCATTTCACTCCTTCAGCTTATTTGGAATGGTTCTCTTCACTTCCAGGTGGGGCAGCTCAATGACTGTGGGCAGAGCCCACAAATCAAATGCCCACCTCATCCAGAATTGCCTTGTACACACCTGTGCTCAAGGTGATTTTAGAAACTTGGTACTTCTTCAACAGAGAGAGGGCAGTATAGCAAAAAGCAGCTCTTTCTTTTGATGTTGGGATTAAAGACAAGGCATCATCAGTGGAGCCACAGGGCCCGCCTTATTTCCTACAAGGTCAAGGTTCTCTGCTAGCACAAGCAGACTTCCCCTCTCTCTTGCAAATCCTGTCTTCACTTTTTAATATCAGTTGTGACTTCTTTGTCTCATTTCACGTTCTTTAGATGTAGAACCACCTGTCATAGACTGGTGCAGATCTCCACCTCCTATCCAGGTGTCAGAGAAGGAGCATTCTGCAAGCTGGGATGAGCCTCAGTTCTCAGACAATTCAGGTAAGATGACAAGGGTTTTGTTGTCATCATGGTAACACTGAATTATATTTTATTTTAAAAAGCTTTTTAAAAGGATAAAAGAGAAAAGGCAAATAACTAATTAGGATGAATAATTATATATGTTAACATGTTTTAGTGCTAGGATAATTAAATATAATTTAACATTATTAATCTTACCTATTCATGGGATTTTCCTTCATTCAGGATTCACTGGGCATTTATTAAACCTGTGCTAGGTGTTGTACCTAAAAGTGTTCTAATGAATTTCTTCAGTCTTCAAGCTTATGTTGTCCCAGAGGCATAAACTATACATTCTATTGGTATCTCTAGTACAGTTCTATATATTTATACCTGACAAATAAATTATAAAAGGTCATAGAAAAGTAGCAAAAAACTGAGCAAATACACTTTAAACGTGTTCACTTTAAACGTGTCATTAAAACCTAGAAAACAACAATAAAAATGCAAATTAAATAGATTTCTTAATTAAACTCCCAATGTTCCAATAGACCAACCTATTCAAAGAAAGTCATCTGTTTAGCAAGAATACCTTAACTTAATGGAGTTTTTGAGTCTACTATTTCTATGTTATAGTATAAATATTAAATCTTTTATTTTCTGCTAGTGCACAAATCAACATAAATAGAGGGCCCAGCTGATTTGCATAAAGAGAAAATGAAATTTCAAATCAAATAACAGACTAATACAGTGGCTACAGACCAATAACCCCTAAGTTGAATCCTTTTCTTCCTTTCTAGGGGCTGTGTTGGACATCACCAGAAGTCACACACAAGGAGATCTTTTCCCTCACGGGGAGACTATAGTACGGTATACAGCCACTGACCCCTCGGGCAATAATAGGACATGCGACATCCACATTGTCATAAAAGGTATTCTCTTCATAAGCCCCCAAAAATCTAGTTGACATTTGATATATGTGAGTGCTATAGTATGCTATTTTGTGAAAGAAAATAGGCTATAGATTTTTAAAGTTAGAATATTGACAGATTTTATTTAGGTTTCCAGTTGT